AGTGCTACATAACTCCAATATGTTGAAACCTTTTTGTGATCATTTTAGTTTGAAAGACACAAGACTTATAAATGACTTTTCACAGTTCCAAGGTACATGGCAGCCTAGAAGGTCGGAGGGAGGTAGTGGGGGCTATTGAGAAAATAGCCAGCAGCCATGTTGGGATGCTTCTCCAATGCATTCCCACCACTGGAAGGCAGGACATTGTGCAGGTCAACTTTCCACAACAGAACCAGCCAGCAGATCTACACATTTAAAGCAGCAATTACAGACCATTTGAAATGCTCACTGATAATTTCCCAGCAGCGAAGTGTGCCCTTCCTGCCATCTCAACAGAATTTCCATTCCTCAACGATGGTACTGCCCTCAACACCCCCAAACACTGCTGCTGGAGGAATTTCCTACCTTTTCAGGGGGCATTCGTGCTTGGTCCCTATGAAATATTGAATTGCTTTTATATTGAGACACCCTCATGTTCTTCTAGTTGCCTAAGCAACACCCAACTCACTAAATGAGCCGGTCAAGATTCTAGAGCTACTGGTTCTGTGACAGGGTGACTAGTGTTGTACGTCTGCTCCATATCCTGACTTGAACTACAGTCTCAGAGGTGGCCAATTAGAAGAATGCCTATGGGAAAATAGGATTCCCTGGTCTAGTTCCCAGCAAATGCAGCCTCAAGCCATTCTTTGCTCTGGACATTGGGGTCCCAAAGCCTGCAGGAAAATCCTGCCCTTCCCCTCCTGCTGCTTGTAATTAGTCCTATCAGGAAATCTGCTGTCATGATATGCTACTTTTGTCCATCCATAGAATCCCTACAGTGTGGAAACAGGACATTCGGCCCACCAACCCTCTGAAGAGCATCCCATCCAAATTTACCCTCTACCCTATCCCTCTCACCTCGCATTTCCCATGCTAATGAACCTAGCCTGTGCATCCCTGGACACTATAACATGGCCAATCCACATAACCTGCACATCTTTGGACGGTGGGAGGAAACTGGAGCATGTGGAGGAAACCCATGCAGACGCAGGCGGAATGTACAAACTCCACACAGACAGATGCCCGGCAGGAATTGAACGCAGGTCCCTGGCACTGTGAGGCAGCAGTGCTAATCACTGGGCCACTGTGCTGTCCATCCATGTACATCCACTGTAGCTCATCTGTAATTGCTCTGTTATCCAGGTAACCTAGTTTGATTCCTGTTCCGAGACAACAAGGTGCAGGGCTGGATGAACACAGCAGGCCAAGCAGCATCATAGGAGCTGCTCC